CCACCAAGGCTGTAATCGGTTCTCATGTTCTTCTATTTATGCTCTCACCCATCAATTTGCACAGGGCTGTCAAATTCTCTGCTTGTAATTGACAGGGGAAACCAATCTATATCATGAGAGGAAACATCTCTACAGCTGTTGGATCTGAACAGGCTATTTCCCACAATGAGGATGAAGTAAAACAGGATCTCACTAACAGCCGTGGATGTCGCTGAGCCCTTATTACTGCAGGTGCGGAGATGCTGCTTGGGACATTAAGAGCTCAATATTCAGAGTACAATGTGTCACACTGTCCTTCCTACACTGCTGCCTTATAGCAAGGTGCCTATTGCCAAGTGGTCCTGAAGTTTGCTCAAGTCACAGTCCAGGCTGCAGGAGGGGCTTCTCCATGAAAGTGAAAGCTCCTTGTCTTATTTCTTAAGATAGTTGTTTCTCTCCTTGCAGAGGACAAGCATAGGAATTTCAGCCTTAGCATTGGAAAGCAACTGTCAATGGCAATGGCTTGTGCCATCCCCAGCTGGAAAAACAGCTTGGACACGGTGTGGGCAGAATGTTTGCAAGTGGGTGTGCATCTGAATGCAAATGGGGGCGAGGGAGTCAGGGAATGTGAAGGGGAGAGTCTGCAGAGCATCTCAGCAGTTTCCAACTCACACTGTTCCCCTGCACAGTTAGAGGATAAACTTAGGTCCCTTCTCCACATAGAAGTGGTGGTGAACTGGGTAATACCCTGATGTTTCCAAAAGTTTGGCCTGATTACCCCAGTTGACTTCTAACTGGGATGAACCCCAGGGGAGGAGGGGGAAGTAATGAAAGAGAAAGTGAGGTGAGAGAGGCTGCCAGAACTGCACTTAGAAAACTGAGAGCAACTCAGCCAGCATCCCTGTAGGTGCTGATGTGGGAAACTGAGAACTGCTTTTTGTGTGCAGAGCATGCTGGGACAAAAGGGATGGGTTGGAAAGAAAATGGTGAAAGGAGACCCGTAAGGAGCAAGAATGGATTTGTTTCCAGTTTCTAATGGTAGGAAAAGGGACTGGGTGAGGAATCTCAGTGAGAAAAAGTATGAAGTACTCCTTTCTTTCTCCCTCTTTTTCTCCTACCATCCCAAGAGGTTTCTGTGGAAGGGAAAAGCCTGCCCCAAGCTCACTTGAGCACACACATTGGGGGATGGTGTGATGAGAATGAGTAGTCCTTTTTCTGCTTGAATCAAAGGCAGATCTTGAACATGAATGGGGTGGGGGGTCTGGTCTGTCATGAGCAAGCTTTCCTCTCTTTGCATTGCTTTGATTTGCGGGAGTTTCTTATTTGGATACTAAAACAATTCTTTAGGTTTTGTTAGCTATTAAATATATAAATTAAATCCTTCCCTGACGTTTTTTCCCTACAACAAACCCCACCAACTGGACCATTTCCATATCTTTCCTTCAGCCACGACTGTCACCTGGGCAGAGTCCTGTGCTTCCTCTCAATTGTCATCTGAACATCTTCTCTGAACTGCCTACACAGCAACCAGGCTGTCTTTGCTGGGGCCAGGCCTTCTTATTTGGCATTTTTTAGGCAGGATTAGGTAAAGACACTGAAAAATGCTACATTCTGTCCTAGTATCTTGAGATCTGCAGCAAGACTGTTTCCAGCCATGGGATGCTGCCCGATGTAGCTGGTGGTGAGAGCTACCACAAAACCCAGCATGTGTCTCCAGGGATGCAGAACTGAGTTCAAGGCACTGATGATGCTGCAGGGAAAAGCCTGAGTTTCTTCGCACGTCTTTATTTGCCAGCAGAGACTGTAAAAATCCCTTGCATAATTCAGCTGCTGCCATACAAATCATCCCACCAGTAAAAGCCTTTTCAGAAAGCATGATTTGATCGCAACAAACTTTGACCTAAATGTGCTGCAGGCCTGTATGACAGGTTTTAAACTTTTGCCGTCACTTCCTTCTGAGAGGCAGAGTGAATCTAGGTCAGCCCCCCCCCCTTGCTTGTTTGTAATGAGGCTAATTCTGATTTCATTCATGTTGCATCTTCAAGTTTGAGATGGGGGAAAAAATGGGATATTTGAAAAGGTGAGTCAGCCTCAAAATCATTCTTAAATCTCATCTTGGAACAAAGGAAGTGGTTTGATGTTGCATCCCAAGGCAACATTGATGGTATCATTTATTATTCAGGGTGAAAAAGGAATACAGAGTTTTCCTTCTTTTCCTTTTTATTTAGATTGCAGCACTAAGCAGTTAGCTGTATGAACAGGCCCATGTCCATGTCTTACAGTGATTAACAGAAAGGCCTATCCTGAGCGAGCGGGCAGCGCACACTGTGTCAGGCTGCTGCTCTGGGCACAAAGAGGGGAAGTGGCAGAACACAAGGTTATTAGTTTATCTGGAGTTTCTAGGCAAGCACAATGCCAAAAATAGAGCCACTTGTTTGTTGATCTCCTCTGCAATGGCAGTTCAGGACAAGATGCTGCATTCATCTATTGCTGAAGCAGCCAGTGCTGTTTTTCCCAGGACTGGGATTCTGTTCAGGGGTGGAGGAAACCTGCTCTGCCCATCACCAGGAGCAGCCATGCAGGAGCTAAAGAGTATGCAGCGAAGGATTTATCGGCCTCATTTCTGCTTCTGCTTATGTATTTCTCCCAAAGGCCATTGCTTGAGTCAAAATGCCCATGCATTGAGAAATTACAACTTTCATTGCCTGCTGTTTTTGCTAGAAATAAATATAAGTATTTGGTTAGGCTAGTGTGATAGAAGAGGGGTTCAGCTTCATTCAGCATTTTTGTCCAGCATGTGTAGATCTGGGTAACAGAGCAGGTGTTTGGTGGGACATGGGCAAGGGAGACAATTGAGGGTTACTGTTTGGGGACCTCAGTGTCAGGAGTGACTATAAAATTGCCTTTGCAGCTCATTGGGGGTTATTTTCAGTGAGAAAACCACTAACCTGCCACTGTGCTACCTGGCACTAACCAGACACCGTGGTCCTGGTGTCTGCTTTTGCAAGGAGGAAGTGACAGATGCCATCAAAGATGGCTTGCCTGCACCCTGTCTGCAACTGAGACAGGCAGCATGGAAGCTGAGGCTCTGATTTTGTATCTCTCTCCTTTCTTTTCATGTCTCCTCCTTCCTTTGAAGTGGGACACCAAGACACCTTTGAATGAGCTTGTGTTGGAATCCTGAAATTTCCAACCTGGTATTCCTGATCCAGTGCTAACCTATCTGTTCCAGCAGGTGCCCAGGGGGCCACTAATTATTTTTGGTAAGCATGAGGAGTTTCTCAGGTCTGGCTAAAGGGAATGGGTATGTCACTGTCACTAAACACGCTTAGTCAAAATAGCAAGAAAAATTTGCCTTAAATATGCCAAATTCAGTATAGTAGTATTTGTGGAAAACATCTATTATCTTTGTATATTTGACAAAAGTTAATTGTCTCTGTGTATTAAAACTATTACTAATAGTAATACTAATCAGTGTAGTAATCAGCCTGTCCCTGTATAGAAGGGAAAAAATTTCTTCATTTATAAGTGATTCATTAAGTAGCATTAAAGCTGTCGCTGAAGACAAAATAATCTTTTTAGAGGACTCAATGTAGGTAGAAGGAAGATTAATGCCTCAGCTATTTTTCAATTATGTAAGCTTCCATTTATTACAGTATACTTGGATTAACTCTTACTAAGCTGTGTGCCCTGGTAGGTAGGGTTGGGAAAAGGGGCCAAAAGGGGTTTTGTGCCATTAGACACACTCAGTGGCATCACCTCTGCCAAGAGATGCTCCGCACAGGGCTGCTGTGATGGGCACAGCAGAAGGATGCCAGGCACTACTCCTCTCAGCCTCCCTGCTGGCAAAACTGTGACAATTTTGCACAAGGAGTATGCATTTATAGTGCTTAAATATTTTGCACTGATTACACTCTACTTGATCATGCTGTTTGCATGCATGTACCTGCTCTCCCGGTGTAGTTCAGGTACTGAAGGGTTCTGGCTTCTCACCCTAATTCAGGTGCCTTTTCCTGCGAACACATTCATAATCTTTGCACAATGAAATTAGCCTAAATTCTTCTAACACACTGGGGATACTCTTATTTCATCATGATTTATGTCAGCAGTTCTGGTAAAGTGTAATTAAAAATATCTCATTGATACTTCTACCTTCACTTTTTTTCCCTAGCCACTGCTTCCTAGAGTGCTTGCCTTGTGTTAATTGAAGAAGTGAAGAGTCGATTTAGCAGGAAGGTGGGAGAAAACAGCCTGAAGATCATTCATCTAAATCACTCCAGTAATGAAAACAGTTGCTCACTACATCTATCATAATTTCTTCTAAGATTCTTACGGACGATTAGTTGCTGCAACTATGCAGATGCACACATGCCTGGTAGGGCTCTGCAGACATGCCAGTCTAGGGCAGTAACTCCAGACTGCGGAAAAAGACTGCTTTTTGCAAGTATAAATTACACACCAAAAAAAGTGGTCAGATAAAAACACTTTTTATGTTTTTCCGGTTGCATTCATTTCATGAAATGTTATACCCCCTTTACCTCACATTGTTGCATGAGCAAAGCTTTTTTAAGTGTGAGGCCAAAATCTTTTTTGGGTAGCTTTGGTGCTATTGCCAAGACATTTGTATGTAAAGTTCAGGTCCTTTGAAGTCACATCATAGCTCTCCACAGCTGAAACACACCTGAGAGCATCTTAATAAATGTTGCAAAACTGACAGAGAAGAACAGAGTAAAGGTGAAAGGTGCTGAAAGGCTATATCCATGAGAGTTGACCTTACTCCTGCCTGCAGGTATGTCCTGAACAGAGCAGCTGAAAGTCCATGAACAAAATTAATTGGTTTACACAGAGAAAATATTTTCAAAACTATGCAGTGCAGAGTGTCAAAAGGAAGCCAAAATAAGCTTTATATCAAACTAAAATGCTGTCTTCAACAATTCAAGAATGCAGGATTTCGTTAATTTTCTTTAAAAGACTCTCTTTTCTTCCTCTTTTTTTTTTTTTTTTTTTTTTTCTTTTTTTTTTCTTTTTCAAAATTGAGTGCTCACCAGTCATGGGGAAAAGGTAAAAAGACATTTAAAGTGGGTTGGCTCAGCAAGGTTCTAAATGCAGATGCAGAGCTGGCTCTGACCCTAGGCCAGCAGGCCAGGGCAGACCCTGTTTGCTGCTAGTCTCTGCTGTGCCTTGATGCTGCTTGTACTCTGCTGCCAGGGAATGAGCCACCAAAGGCTTTGCTTTTTGCTCTGTTATTGACTCCAGGCAGTTGTAAAACCCACATGATGGGTTGTGACAGAACCCTAGTGTTTTCTTGGACACTTTGACCTGCACACAGAGGAGTGGCTTTGGGCAGAAGCCAGAGGAGGCGGTGCTGGACAGCCTAAGCATGCCCCTGCCCTCCATCCTGCCCATGGCTGATGCTGAGCACCTCTGCTATGAACACAGGCCACTATGAGAGAGGTGGGGTTGTTCAGCCTGGAGAAGAGAAAGTTTCAGGGACACCTTATAGCACCAGTCCCTAAAGGGGCTACAAGAGAGCTGGAGAAGGGCATGGAGCAATAGAACAAGAGGGAATGGCTTTACACTGACAGAGGGTGGGATTTAAATTAGATATAAGGAAGAAATTTTTGACTGTTGAGGATGATGAGGCCCTGGCACAGGCTGCCCAGAGCAACTATGGATGCCCCATCACTTGAAATGTTCCAGGCCAGGTTGGATGGGGCCCTAAGCAACCTGATGTTCCTGAAGTTGTCCCTGCCCATGGTACAGGGAATTGGAACTGAATCATCTTTAAGGTCCTTTCCAACTCAAACCATTCCATGGTTCTATAGTATCCCTATTTTCTCTTTTCCGATTTTGTTTTCTGAACAAAGTTGAAAGCTCACGTGGTTGTGTGTAACCAAAGTCTGACCACAGTGATTTGGTGTCTTCTTACTCCTGCTGGTGTGGAATGAAGCACAGAAGGTGCCTGGAAGCCCCAGCCATGGGGCTAGGCTGCGGGAGCTGGGTATCCTGGCTACGGGAGCTGGTTCTCCCGATTGAGGGAGCTGGATATCCCGGCCGAGTGCTGTTTCCCTGCGGCTGAGAAGCCTCTGAGCGAGGGAGCTGCTGAGCTTACATTACTGCTGGGGCTTCTGCAGTGCACACGTTAAAACGGGTAAAAAGCATTAACAGAAAGCGAATGGTCTTATTCTGGAGTAATTGGTTGAAAAAGTCCCTGTGGGGATGGGCTTGCCTGAGTGGCGGCTGCCCGGGAGCGGAGCGGCGGAGCAGTGGGAAGCAAAGGCACCGGGAAAGGCTTCAGCGACTCGAGGTACGAAACTTCGCCTTGTAAACTCTTCTTGCCGGCACGTCTGCCCGAGGGCGGGAGCCGGGCGATGTCCCGGCGGCAGCGGAGGCCGGAGGGGTGTCGGTCCCTCCCGGAAGGCGGGGAGGGGCTGCAGGGCCAGCGGCTGGAGCGGAGACCCCCGCCCGCCCCGCGCTGCCCGGCGCCGCCGCGCGGTGGCGCCATCGGCCCG